TTTTAACAGCCTAAAGATACTGAGGTAACATTTCATGTTTTGTGGTTGGAGTATAGCTGAACTGTCAGGGTCAGTCTGCCAATGTGACGAACAAGCATACCGCAGCCTTTATCTCACAACACCAGTGAAATGTTTGAACAAGGGCCTCAAAAGCTGCTTTAACAATGTGCTGACACTTTCCATAAACTATACATTTTGGTGCATAACTGATGAATCGACATTCCCACAGATACCACCAGATGTCAACATTTTACTGGTTCGCTTTAAAACCAAATACCTAGGAATTGACAGCTTCTTTCAGTCTCAGCTGCTTCGTGTTTTATTCCAGAAAACAAAGGCACCTGTCAGCATTTAGCTCAAGGCACTGCTGTGCAGCCTCTCAGGCAGCATTTAACAGAAAGTATCTGAACTGTGATAGGTTCAACTACTATTTAAAGGCCAAATCATTAATTATCATTAATTAATGGTGATATTTACATTTTTAAAAGCTATACTAAAACGTAACCGTGTTCCTATTTTTGCAGAGCTGGGAGAGATTTGCAGCCTCACGGTGGTTTGAGGTTCTCCATATTTGCATTTTGGAAAAAAATATGTTGAATTTTGATGACAAATTTAAGCTCAACTCAGTTAAACTCCTTGAAAACCCCCTTCGGACAGATTATTATGACTAAGTATTCTGTCAGTGCCGTGAATAGCGATAAGAGGGGTTTTTTTGGAGAATCGGACACAGGGTAAAATCCTAATTGTAAGTCTTCCCTCTCACCAGGGAGAGGTGCTGTTTAGACACATGTAACTCTTGTCGCTCTCTACTCCAAATTTTCCAAAGTCTGGGACATGCTGGAAGCTAACTGGACTAAATGAGTGTCACCAGGTCCTAATGCCATTAGGCGCTGTTGTAATTCACTGAAACTGATTTCATTAGAGAGAAGACACGATGCCCTCACGATGTCCTGCTAACAAAGCCTGCCTTGAGGGCATACCGATTCATATGGCAGCTAGAAAAACAAGCAGAGGGAAACATTGTGAGAGGAGAAGAGGCTAAACCTGCAAATATGACTTTACAAAGAAGAAACTCTGAGAGCAGGGTACGTGTGGCACAAGGAAATTGCATTCATAAATAGCTCAGCACGCATTTATCCGTTATTGAATTTTTATCTGTCTGTGTGAATTACGTTTTTCTTTTAAACTGCATCCCACAGAAGTTTTACTAGTGAATATTGATTTATTCCTTGCACAGAGCTTCGCTGGGTTCAGTGTTTGAAAAAGAACA